TGTAGGCTCAGCTGGGGTAAGAATTTCTAAAGGTGGTTAATTAGAAGACAGAAGGACAATTTTGTGCTGCTTCTTGGATGGTGCTCACACCCTGCCACCTCCCTGTCACTCTTGGGTAATCAGTGAGATGGACGATGTGTTTCTTAAGATAACTAGGATTGTAAATGGTGTTGCCTATATGGAAAAAAGTGCAGAGAGTGCTTAAAACATAAAAGTTGGGGCAGGAGTGAGAGAACAGACAGTAGAACGCTTGCCTTGCAGAGATTCGATCCCTAGCACCAGATATGGTCTCTCAAGCCCCACCAGGATTAATCCCTCAGAGCCAGGAGTAAACCCTAAGCACCCCTGGGCGTTGTCCCAAAAACAAACCAAAAAATCTCACATCTCCAGCAATACCATTCCCAGGCAATCATCAAAAGGGATGTGAAAACACTAATTTAAAAGGATATTTGTCACCTGCCTTTCTTTGTAAGAGCCTCATTCGCTGTAGCCCAAACATGAAATCAACCTAAATGACTATCACTATAAGAAGCTGTGATGTGTGCAGTCAGTTTGATAATCTGCCATGGAAAAAAGACGAGCCAGTGCCCGACCAGGCCAGATGGGTGAGTCCCAGGTGACTATACTAAGTGAAAGGCAATTACATGATGGCTTCCTTCACATGTGGGATATGAATTACTAAAGTAAAGTGTCAAGAAACAGCAAAACAGGGGCTGGAGTGATAGTACAGCGGGTAGGGCATTTGCCTTGCATGTGGCTGACTGGGGCTGGATTCCCAGCATCCCATATGGTCCCCTGAACACCCCCAGGAGTAATTCCTGAGCGCCTGACCCAGGAGTAAGTAACCCCTGTTCATCGTCGGGTGTGACCCGAGAGAGAGAGAGAGACAGAGACAGAGACAGAGACAGCAAAACAGATGCCTTGATGGTGATTAGGGACTGCAAAGCTAAGGGGGTCACAAGCAGATGGGGTCTTTTGGGGAGTGGAATGGCACTGGAACTTTGGTGGAGGAAATAGAAACAATTCCACATACAAACACACGTGTCCTCTCAATAGGTCATAGGTTCCATCTTGCAAAGATTTACTGCATTTGCTGAGAGCTGCTGCAAGGGATGTGGGAAGAGGAAGAGGCGCCCTGAAGTCTCGTTCACGCTTCAGAGTATAACACACTGAATTCCGTAGTACTGTAAACCAATGCTTGGCCGATAATGAGCAAGTGAAAAAGATTTTAAGCAAGGAATGAAGGACAAGGATGAAAAAGGACTAGCATGCCTGGGTTTGCATCGACCGCTAGATCGCGCTGTCGGCCAAGGAACCTGACGTGCCAGCCCCTCCAGGAACCCGGGAGTCGGAGGCTGCGAAGAGGTGGGAGGTGCAGAAGAGAGTGGATAGGCAGGATGTCACCTGAGCAATAAAAGCATCAGACTGCAACCAGGCGTCTACTTCCAACCAGTTAATCAACACCATCACTGTAATGTCACCCGTAACAGACTTCCCGGGGGTAATTCAGTACCGGACGCACCCGAAGGGCCAGATGGGAAGAGGGTTTACTTTAGTTTTTATTTCCTTTGAAACTCCCCTTTGAGGTCACTTCGTCCACCCAGGTTTTCTAGGAATAGATGCGTTTGGATTTAGCTTGTGTGCACCTATGAAGCCCCAGGCACTGTGTCCTTGCTCCCGGCCCTCTTCACCCCACTCTGAAGCTTGAAAGAGCTTTCAGGGCTCCTCCCCATCTTCCTACATCCCTTGCAGCAATTCTCAGCAAATGCAGTAAATCTTAGCAAGATGGGACGTATGACCTACTGACAGTCCTCGTCAAATGGATTAAATCTAAGAAAGTGGGAGAAAAATGTCTCGAGCCAGGGATGGGTGGGTGGGTGCCCAGCCCGGTGGGTGCCCAACCGGTCCCTCAGCATCAGAGAGGGGTGCAACACTTGGGTGCGAAGGGAAGTCCGAACCCTCCGGTAGATAAGTTGAGTTGCAGCTCTGGATCAAACGGGAGAGAGCTCGTTTTGAGTCAAGAACATCAATTCTTCTACCCGCCTGGCCCCCACCCCCCCAGATGTGCCGACAATGCCATCAGTTACACAAAAATGTGCGCGCGCGCGCACACACACACACACACACACGGAGCTCGCCCCCGCCTCACCCCTCCAAACTCGGGGCAAAATTCAAGCCGCACCCAGCACGTGGTGACACCCGTGGGCGCATAGGGGTGGGTCAGGGGTTTCCCAAGGGCCTCCCCACGACTGTGCTGGGGTGCCCCGAAGGCGGCTTCTCTGCCTTCTGTGGTCTCCTGGAGGCTGTCCAGCCAGGGTGCCCCCGAGATAACGGAGCCGAGGGGGAAGAGCTGAAGGGGGGTACAGAGGGGGTTGGGCCTAGCGGAGCGTCGGTAGTGGGGTAGCACCGCGCGTCGGTCAGGCCAGTCCCACCCCGAGGGCTTCACTGAGAGCTGGGGGCTGCAGCCAGACGCCGGCGTCGTGAGCGCAGCGCCCGGAAAAAGCGCGTCCACGGAGCGTGCGTGGGCTCTTTGTGCGAACTGCTCAGCTGCACGGCGAGTGGGCCGAGTGGGGCCCGGGAATGTGCAGAGGGGGGCGATTCTCATTCTTCTTCCTTCTCGCCCTTGGGCCTTCGCGCTGGCTAGAGGCAGCCTAGGAGCGGGGAGGCCCGGGGTTAGGAAGGAAGGAAGGAAGGAAGGAAGGAAGGAAGGAAGGGAGGGAGGGAGGGAGGGAGGGAGGAAGAAAAAGAAAGAAAGAGAGAGAGAGAAGGAAGGAAGGAAGGAAGGAAGGAAGGAAAAGGAAGGAAGGAAGGAAGGAAGGAAGGAAGGGAGGGAGGGAGGGAGGGAGGGAGGGAAAGAAAGAAAGAGAGAGAGAGAGAAGGAAGGAAGGAAGGAAAAGGAAGGAAGGAAGGAAGGAAGGAAAAGGAAGGAAGGAAGGAAGGAAGGAAGGAATCATCAGTACGGAAGGAAAGGAGGAAGGAAAGGAAGAAAGGAGGAGGGAAGGAAGGAAGGGATGGATCATCAGTACGGAAGGAAGGAAGGAAGGAAGGAAAAGGAAGGAAGGAAGGAAGGAAGGAAGGAAAAGGAAGGAAGGAAGGAAGGAAGGAATCATCAGTACAGAAGGAAAGGAAGAAAGGAGGAGGGAAGGAAGGAAGGGATGGATCATCAGTACGGAAGGAAGGTAGGAAGGAAGGAAGGAAGGAAGGAAGGAAGGAAGGAGTGCAGGGAGGGAAGTTCGGGTCCTTCTAAAGAGGAGGAAGGAAAGGAAGAAAGGAGGAGGGAAGGAAGGAAGGGATGGATCATCAGTACGGAAGGAAGGAAGGAAGGAAGGAAGGAAGGAAGGAAGGAAGGAAGGAAGGAAGGAGTGCAGGGAGGGGAGTTCGGGTCCTTCTAAAGACAGTTCCGAAGCTGTGGGCCCGAGGGAGGCAAGGTCACGTTTGCAGGAGACTGAGTTGATCGGGAAGGGTGGCTCCCAGATCTCCCGGGTGTTGGTGGGAGCCTCCTGGCAGCGCCGTGGTGGAGAAGCCACGGCAGGGAGCCCCTCGCCCTAGCCCTAGCTCCGCGCTCGGTCCCGGGTTGGGGAAAGGCTGGGGTCAGAGGAGGAGCCTAGGAAGGTGGCAGAAACTAGTCCCCTCTCCGGCCGGCCTTCTCCTCTGGGTTGGGGGTGGGGGGTGGGGGTCACTCCTCTGCATCCTTTCGACCCTACAGCGTTTTAGGGGTCGCGCTTTGGGTCGGTCGCGCATCCATTCGGGGCCAGGTTCGACTCTGGCCCAGGTGCGAACTTTCTAGGGTGGCTGGAACCGATTCCAAAGCAGTTCTCTCTTCTGAGCACCCGGGGGGGCTTCGAGTCCCGTCCCGTCCCCTCCGCCGCCCAGGGCCCCGTGTTTTTGGCTGGACGGAAGCTCCGCAGTTCCGCCAAGCCTCGAGGGAGCGGGCCGGGGGACTGGGAAATCCATCCCGTGGCCGAGCCCCGCGCGGGCGGCGCTCGCGCTTTCCAAGAGCCGGAGGAGCTCGAAAAAGACAGAAGGCGCGCCGCGTGCGCAGACAGTTAGTTCATGGAAACCCTGTAAATCGGTTTTAAGTGCACCCAAGACAGAATGGGAGGAAGGTGTAGGAGGTGATGCTGGGGCGGGGTGGGGGAGGGGGGGAGGGGATGGGGCGGTAGAGCCTCGGGGAATAAAATGAGATGGGGGGGGGGGCAGGAGGGGGACACATCCGAGCCGTTTGGAGCTTGCCTGTAGCTTCCTCCGTCCCATCGTGCTTAAATTTAGAAAAGAAAAAAAAAAAGGAAAAAAAAAGAAAAAGCAAAAAGCAGCAAATTCATTAAGGACCTCGCACGCAGAGGGAAACCCGAGCTTCCCCGGCCCGCCCCGAGCGGAGGAGCGCGCGGCTTCCCTTGGCAAGGCCCCCGGCCGCCGCGGCCTCCCCTCCTCCCCCGCTGCCCTCCTCCTCCTCGCTTCCTCCCTCCTCCCTGACGCCCCCCCCCTCCTCTGGTCCCCCCCACCCCCACCCCACCCCGGCGGGCCACCGCCGCTCGGGCGATCGCCACCTCACGCCGAAGGAATGCTCGAAGTATGCACACGTTCCCCCAAGCAGACCTCCTTCACCGCCGGCGGAGCATACATCACCCCGTGGCAGCCGTCCACCTTCGCCGGCGTTTCGTAACCGAGTAAACTGAGAGCTGGGAACAGCCCTCTATTAAGTAGCCCGCGGCGCGGAGCCTCGGCCCACTCGAGCGCGGCCAGCCGTCCCCGACGCGTGCGCGCGCCAGCCAGCAGCCGCGGCCCCGGCAGTCTCGGGTCGCGCCGCACCTTCGGGGGGGACCCCCGCCGCTGTCGCCGTCGCCGCCGCCGCCGCCCGCAGGCAGCCCCCCTGCAGACCCCGACCCGCCACTTCGTCGCTGCAGCCCCAGCCCGCCGCCAGGTGCTCCCGGAGCGCCGCCGCCGCCGCGCGTGTTCGGGCGCGCGCGGGGAATCGCGCCGAGCTCCCGCGGCTTGCAGGACTTTGGGGAAGCCGCGGCGGCCGCGGTCACCGCCGACTCAGGTCAGTCGGACTCTCGTCGGCTTCCTTCGGCGGCTCCCCTCACCCCCGATCGCGCGCGTCCCCCTCCACCCCCCCATCCATCCCCCCCGAGGGATCCGGGACCCTGCCCCCTCGCTCGCTGCGCCCCCAAGACGTTAAGGATCCGGGGCGAGGACTTGGAGAGGGACCTGGGTTGCAGCTGGCACCTCGAGCTTTTGGGATTCGTGGTTCTGGTTTTTGGGGTGGGGGGAGAGTTTTCCGAAGAGTCCCCGCGAGGGGCAAGTTGCGTGTGCGTAAAGCCCCCCCACGCGAGGAGAGGGATTTCTGCGCGCACGCCGGCGGCGCAAGCGGCCACCACCTGCCCCTCTTTTCAGTCGCGGCCGTGGCCCGGTCCCCGGGGCCCCTGGTGCAGCCCCGCGTCGGGCACCGAGTCCCTGAGGGCGCCACCGAGCGCACGGCTGCTCGTGCGGGTGCGCGGAGGCGTGCGGCTTCTGCACCCTCGTTTGGCATCTGCACCCTCATTCCCGGTGCGGGCGTCTGGCTCTCCGCTCGGCTAGTTGGAGCGCACCGCGAGGGGCCGGGTCGTCGGAGGTCAGGGGACGCACGCCGGGGACGGCCACCTCGTTTCCCCACCCTCCCCACCCCTAGCCGCCGGGAGAAAGCCCCCTTTCCCCTCCGAGCTCGTCCCGGGTGTCGGGGGTCCTAGAGACGGTAGGGATCGCAGAGAGTGGGGCGCCCCGTCCAAGGATGGGGATTAAGAGCTAGCTACCCTCCCATCCCCCCCACTCCCACCCCGAGCATCCCCGGGGGTCCATTTCGGGGCGTTTCCAAACCTCTTCCCTCCCCGCACCCCAAACTGATGGTTGTTGGTCGTCGTCGGGCTGCGGCGCTGGCACGGGACGCCCAGGGCCAATTGGAGGGTCGGGGAGGAAGAGGGTCCGAGGCGTCCAAGGGCTGGGGGAAACCGAGGGGTGGGGGAGGTGTCATTTCCTTTTGAAACTGGTCTTAGGAGTGGAGGCTCTGGCCTCCGGCGGTGGGGTGGGTGGGGGTGGGGAGGCTGCTGGAGCAGAACTCTCCAGACGGTCCCCCCCACCCCCAGCCCTCCCCCTCGGCTGCCACTGACTCATTTTCATTCATGAGCGCAAAGGGAGGGAATCCTCGCTGCCACGTCGGAACGGCCGCCTTCAGGCATCTCCGTCTGAGGATGCTCAATGCGGTGTTGCTAAGAATTCGGTGAAATGCTTTGGCAGAAAAGGAGAAAAGGATTTTTGTTTTCTTTTGTTTTAAACATATGCATGGGCGGTGTGCGGGGTCCGCGGGCTTCTGAACCGCGTCGATGTTCTGCTATCCCGACGCGACGTGATTCATTCTTGCCGCTGAGTCAGGCGACCGACAGGTGGCGCCCCAGACCCAGACAAAACGCTTGCACTTTTTTTTTGGTGACAAGTTCAGTTTTTTTCTTTCTTTCTTCCTTTTTTTTTTTTCCCTTTTAAAAGTCTGCATACAGTTTTTCGGTGGGCCGATTGTCAGCCTCTCTTAGCTCGGCTTGGAAGTGGCACTGCCAACTGAGTTGGAAATTATTAGAGCAAAGTTAAGACCAGATGAGGGGAACAATGGGCCAGTCTCACCTCTAGTTTTTCATTGATGTAGAAGAGGGTTAGAAATGTCAAACAGCTGTTAATTAGGAAGAAGAAATTGCTAGGACCCGTGGATCCCAGAGCAGAGCCAAAATTTTAATCTTGGCTTCATAAAAAAAGAGCTCCAGGCAATTTGGCCTGCTCCCTCATCAGACATTTAAAATGCAATTTACACTCAGCCGGGAAAAGCAGCCCAAATATATCGTGCCAATAATTTGGAAAGACGCGGTTAAAGCTTGTCAGTTTCTTTTCACAAAAAAGCTCTGGAACTTTTGCTTCATTTCTAGATTCCCAAGCATGATTCCATTTTTCATGAGGCCTAGTGTGTTGCCTTACAATAATTTATGGACCTCAGAGTCGACTTTTTCTGTTTTGTCTTTGGCAGTTTCCCAGTTCGGTTCATTGTTTGTAGCTTTTGTCTCCGAATGGATGTTACAGTGTATTGTAGAAGCTTTCTTCTCTTTGGGCTGACAGGGATCAAGCACTTACTGTGGACTGGGAACACATAGGATGAATAAAATTATTCGTCTCTTTTAAAAGTGTTGGGATCAAACCCAAGGCATCTCACATTAGGGCAAGCACTATAGGCTTGAGTTACAACCCCCTCCCCACTCCACCTCAATTTTTTATCTGAAGGAATTAGTAATATAGTTATAGAACCAGCAAAGGTCGGAATAGAATATATTCTCTGAGAGTGCCTATATACCTGTAATTTTCTGGAATCAATGAAACGTTGAATGAAAAAAGTTTATTATTTGGGGAAAAAGTAAGACTTGTTTTTTCTTCCATGCTTGTCACCTTGTTGTTAGTTTTTTTTCAAGCTGTTTTCTGACCATCTTGGGTAAAGGATTTATCAGATGTGGAGACGACACAGCGAAAGCAGGAGGTCCAGGCTTCTGTGGAGCCTTACATGCTCCTGCATAATCCATTTCAGACCTCAAAGAGCTGCATATTTGTAGGCAGAACAAAATGAAGAAAAAAAAAAGAGAGTAAAAGAGGTTTATTATACTTTTCCAAATTACCCCGAGACCACTAAAGCACAGTTAACTAAATCGTTCAGCAGCTAGGAAAAAGTGGCCAAATAAAATCCCCAGCTGGAAGAAACATTTAGTTGAGTCAGGGATAAAATGACCTCGGAATTAACCATCACCCAGGCAGGATGAAGTCATGTGGGGCCTGGTGGGGCTTCCTTCACCCTGGAAGCTAAGCTGGCCCAGTCTCCAGGAAAACAGGACCCTCTTTAAACTTGAACTCGCTCTTAGTGCCATGATTCAGCTTCTGTAGATGAACTCGACTTCCACTGCTCCACAACAGGCCCTTTATAAGCCGGGGGGGCCTGTGGTTCTTAAGGCTAATCTGCTCAGGTGCTGGCCCAGCCTCAGGCTCCCGTTCTAACCTGGTTCCAGGCTGCCCTGGCAGCAGTTTTCTGATGTGGTCCCTGCTTGCTCCAGCAGTTCCCTTCATGCGGCTGTGAGTTTCGAGGCTGACCATGCGGACCCGGCTCCCTCCAGCGCTTGCCGCCCTGGGCGCGGCCCTGTTCTTGTCTTCCATCGAGGCAGAAGGTAAAAATGCTCTCTCTCTCTCTCTCTCTCTCTCTCTCTCTCTCTCTCTCTCTCTCTCTCTCTCTCTCTCTCTCCCCTTCCTCTTCTCTACTGACCGTGCAGAATTTTAGGAAGGTCCAAGAGATCTTTCTGGCTTCTACGGCTTGCTTGTTTTTTTTTCCACTCTGCGCTTCATGTGTGTTTCTTTTTTCTTCTTGGCTGGTGATTTCTCTCCAGACAAACCCCTTCGTCTTCTTTTTTCTTCTTCTTCTGAGCTCTGTCCATTCCGCAGCTCTCAGGTTCAGCTCTTTGGCCTTCCGCATCATCCATTCTGTACAGCACCGTGTGTTCTACTCGCGCTGTCTCTGCCATGTGTGTGCTGTCCACATGCCACCTCCAACCATCCCGAGAAGAGTCGCCGTCTGTCCGGGAGGGGGCGACCGCTGCGCCCGGCACGGCGCATGCTCCGGACATCCTTGCGCTGCTGGTACCCAACCTGCCGCTGCTGGTACCCAACCTGCCGCTGCTGGTACCCATCCTGCCGCTGCTGGTGCCCCCACCCCGAGCGTGGCACGGTAGGCCGGCGTGGCGCGTGGCTTGTAACCACCCGGCTGGGGGCTGCCGCCTCAGTAACTGCACGAATAAAGGACTGCCACAGCGCTGGCTCTGCGCGTCCGTGTGTTTGTGGGGCGCGCCGTTGGCTAGACTGATGCGGCAGGAGGTTCAGAGGATGCAGACGGCGTCGGTGGGGATGGGGGATGATCCTGGACATCCTGGGCGCGGGAGGTTGTTCTCCTGGCCTGGGGGTGGGGACGCGCTGACCCTGTGGGATGATCCTCTGAGCACCTCTCTGAGCAACCCTCCCTGCTCACTGAGCTGGGAAGGGCTTCTGAGCATCACTGGGTGTGACTCCAAATCTAAACAAAATAGGAGCAGAAATAAGCCAGGTAAGGGAAATTATAATGTGAGAAATTGTTAGATTAGTTCATATTAGTTCGCTGGCCTCAGGAGCGCAGTGGCCTAGACCCTAGCGAACAGCAGACAAGTTAGGTCCAGGCCAAGGTTTCCAGCACACAGGGAAGTGAGTGGGCACCAGAGCAGTCAGGCACCCCATTCCAGGGCCACCCGCCTTCTTGTTCCCCAGCATCGGGCGGAAGGAAGAGGCTCTGGGCTGGGAAATCTGCCAAAGAAACGTGGTGTTGGAGCAAGGGCAAGGAGCTCTGCCCTCTCATATAAGACAGGCTTTTGCATTTATTTTATTTTTATTTTTGTTTATTTTAATTTTTATGTTTTTGGTTTTGGGGGTCACAGCCGGCGATGCGCAGGGCTTACTCCTGGCTCTGCACTCCGGAATTACTCCTGGGGGGTGCTTAGGGGGACCGTATGGGATGCTGGGAATTGAACCCGGATTGGCCACGTGCAAAGCACACGTCATACCCTCTGTGCGATCGCTCCAGCCCCAGATTTGTTTTATTTTATTTCTTCTTTTAAAAATGTGCACGTTGTGTTTAATTTCTCAGCACCCACTAAACAGGGCATTTCTATATATTAACCAGATGAGGGTGGTGTCCCTTCTGTGTCCCCCTCAAAGATCATGGAACCGGCCAAATTAGAGGCATTGTTCTGCAAGTTAAATAACACTAGAGATATAGTTTAATTCCCTACTGTTCCCCCAATAAAGAAGTAGTATAGAGGAAATTAAGGAGGAAAAAATGTGAGGAAGTTCTGGAGGTTTTTTTTTTTTTAAGAAAAGAGGTTGTGGGAAATTGAGTTGTTTTGTGTGGGAAAATAGAGATGTTTCCTGATAGCACAGATTAGAGGAAACAAAAATACCTATTGTATACTTTTCTACTTTAAGTCTACAGATAAAAAAAATCACCAGGAAAATCACAGTCTCCTAAATGTGTTTATGACTTGTTGGTGAATGTAGAAAATTTTCTGAGTAGTTTCTGTGAAGTATTAGCTGAGGTTGCTTTAATGCTCCATTCTGTGTCGTTGTTAGGAAGGAATTTTATTTAAGGAACTTCTGGAAGCCTGACTGAAGATATTTTTAGAGAGTTCACTCAAGTGGCCTATTTATTGCTCATTAAGAAAATAGTTTATTTGAAAATCAGAAAGATTTGACAATTCTTAGGAAAAGAATTAGTTTGGAAATGATGTCATTGGAAAAAAAATCAAGGTTGAATTGGATAATGGTTGGTTAGCAAAGTACAGTTAAAAAGGACATTTTACTGTCTACATTACTATTTTCACACTTCCCATACTTTTATCCTTTAAATTTGTATTTATTTTCACATACTGCGGTACTTTTTTGCTCTTTTAAGCTGTGTTATTTTTTCTTGTCTCTCAACCCTTTCAGTCACTACTGATTATTTATATTGTTAATAGGAATCTGATTGGGGAGATTATGCCATGGAATAGCAGGGCCTAATTTTGTGAGCAGCAAATGCGAGCACATATGTAACTTCAGATTTTCAGGTCATCACATCGAAAACAGGAGAAAAGGAAAAAAAAGGGTTTGAGAGTTAGCAAAATGGACTGGACCATATGCTTTGTGTATGGTAGTCTTGGGTTTCCATGTTGGATCTCTTACACTGATGATTCTCTGAGCACCTCTCGGAGCAACTCTCCTTACTGAGCTGGGAAGGGCTTCTGAGCATCACTGGGCGTGACTCCAAATCAAAACAAAATAAAAGCAAAAATAAGCCAGATAAAGGAAATTACAATGTAAGAAATTGTTATATAAGTTCATTTACACTAATATATTCATCTGTTTGCCATTCCAAAAATCAAGCAACATTAAATAATGGGTGTGATATTTGACAGTTTTTGGTGCTAACGTCCTTGCTTTGGTGTGCATTTATGCTTGCAGGGCTTTTCGGTTTGGATTGGCCACATTTCAAGTGCCTGACAGAGCACGTGGCTGGTAGCTCCTGGACTGGAAAGCCCAGCCAGGGTGTTAAGTACTAAGTAAGTGGTCCCAGGAGTCTCTGAAGGGCTAGCAGGACTTGTAGCCAAAACCTTTCTGGTAACAATGGGCTACAAGTAGAATTTCTCTGAACTATTTCTCTTAGGGGCATTAAGAATTTTCAAATTGTGCCTCTGCTTATTGTTATGTCATTTTAATGTTTGAAAAATTGCCAGTTTTTTCCCCCTTTTGGAACTTTCAGTTTTTTAACTTTGTTGTCACACTACTTTCCAATAGGTCTTTGTCTACTTACTTTTTAATGTGATGAAAACTCAGAGTTGGCTTTTGATATTTATGGAAAGGTTTTAATATTCACTTTTTGCATTGTTCCCCATTCATAGTTGTACCACATTTATCCCATTACTTACCTTCTACCATTTTACATGAGACAGTTTTCTTTCTGATTTTGGGCCAACCTAGTGATGCTCAGGGCTTCCTCCTGGTTCTGTGCTCAGGGATAACTCCCGGAGGGCTGGGAGACCGTATGGTGCTGGAGGTTGAACTTGGGTTAGTTGCATGAAGGGAAGTGCCCTATCTACTGTACTATCTCTCCGGCCCCAGAAAATTCTTTATGAATACAATTCTTTACAAATACAAAAATATTTATGTATTTATTTAGTTAATTTATTTTTTGCTTTTTGGGTCACACCTGGCATTGCTCAGGAGTTACTCCTAGCTCTGCACTCAGGAATTACTCCTTGCGGTGCTTGGGGACCATATGGGATGCTGGGGATCGAACCCGAGTTGGCCGCGTGCAAGGCAAATGCCCTACCTGCCGTACTATCACTCCAGCCCCAGAAAATTGTTTTATAATGTATTGTTGACTATAGAAAGAATAGCAAAAATCATTTAGTTTTTGACTTTGGTATTTATTATTTTTAGACTCAACAATGTCAGATAACTGCAACCATACAAACTTGTTCTCTATGACCCAGAACGTGTGAAATGTCTTTGGTTCATGTAGAGATTGTCACTCAGAAAATTTAACATTTATGTTTAAGATTTCATGGCTACTAGTCTCTGAGAATTGGGCACTTTCTTAATTAATTTATAATTTGAGATGAAAATGTAATAGTCAATTGTAGAGAGTTTGATTGATGGTTTATAATATATTATGGACAACTGCATCTTATCATCCCGTCAATGAGTTTAGCCCTTGTGGATCATTTTGTTCTTTCTCATTTTCCATATGAGTAAGTGTCAGGGAGGCTTTTAGTAACTCAGGTAATGCACACAGTTACTTAGGAATAAAGCACAGTCATGTAGTCATGTTTTATTGCTAGTTTGCGCTCTGTGATTCTTTCTTATGTGAAAATTGAAAACCCAGTTAGTTTTTTTTGAGAAAACATGGCTTTTAATGTATGTAGGAAAATCCATCACTTTTCTGAAATATTAACTTTTCACTGGTTATTTTTGGTATCCGCTTAACACAAATTAAGTTACTACCTATTATGGCAAAGATCTTAAAAATCTTATACTTTGAATGAAAGATACAATTTAATGCCTATTGAATTTAGTAAACCTTTTCACACTTCAAAAATTCATAAGAAAGTATCCATACTTAATATCTTTCCTCCTATTTTATTAAGTTTTGACCTCTAAGAAGCATATATTATCAGATATAGCACTAAAGGTTTTACTAATTTGTCAAGATATTTAGTAGTGTGTTCTCAATTTTGATCTATCTTTAATGCATTTTATACATTATAAAAATTTACTAGATTTTTCTCCATTCATCCATCCACCCCGTTTTCTCTCTTTCCCCTCCCTCCCTCTCTCCTGTCACAGTTGGTCAACTCTTAGACATGTCTTCTTTTCAGGTACCATAATGAAAACAAAGCTTAAAAAGATTAGATGACAATATAAAGTTTCAAAATTGCTTGAGTAGGTGTGTAAAATTAAAATTAATAGCCAAAGTATTTATATTTACACTGAGAATATCTAAATATCCATGGATATCTGAATATAAAAAAAAAGTGGCAAGATGAGAAGTGGAGTGGGCTTTATTCTTGGGCTGCTGTGTTTTCTAACTTTTGATTCCCAAGTACCACATCTGATTTTCTATGATCACTTTAAACTCTCCTGTGAAATGTTAAAGACTTTTCTAAACAGTCAATTTTTCAATTATCTGGTAGATAAAGATTGGAGATACCTCAGGACTCATATATATTACTGACCATATATTAACTAATTGTATAGGGGAATATATTTACATAAATTGGGTAAATATGTAGAAGTATTAGTTTCTAAAGTTATTTTTTCACTCATATATTCTTTACATTTTATCTGGCACGTTAGAAATTCTATGCTCTGGAATCAATGTGGGATTCAAGATTTGATTCTTATTAAGTTGTTTTAACTTCCTTAGTTTTACTGACTCAGCTATAAATTTCGATTACTAAAATCCACTCTGCTGATATAGGATGAAAAGGAGACCATTGATAAAGTTATTGGCTCTCTGGTTCAACACACGTTAGCTATTATTATTTCTAAAAAGTCCTGAATTCTGTTAATTTGCATACCAAAATATCATTAGAATGCAGCTTTCATTAAGTAGCTGTTTGATAACAAGAGAATTATTATTGAGCTTTTAGGACTATATAGCTGATCCCTATGTAATTTAATTAGAATTTAGTTCTCATTCTTTTATCTCACATTCTCAGTCTATACAACCATGGCTATTTTCAATCACATTCTGTACAAGCAATTCATGTTTGAAATATTCTGGCATCTGCATTCCTTAGGGAACATAGACACTGCCTCTGGCATTGCATTGGTAGTTGTGTATTGTTTTATATAAAGAAAATATTTTCAAAGTGAATGAAAATTTGCCACTCATACCTGATATATTACCATTTACTGTGAAACAAACAGAAAATGTATTAACGGAATGGCAAGCCTGAAAGGTTTTACCCGTGATAAAAAATCGCAAGAGGAGAGCTAGAATGAGAGTCTAGCAGGTATAGTCCTTACTTTACATGTGCCTGTCCTGGGTTTGATCCCCAGCACCCCACACGATTTCCTGAGCCCTGCCAGGAGTGATCCCTGGGCACGGAGCCAGGAGTAAGTCCTGAGTACCACTGGTTGTGGCCCAAGCAACAGCAAATTAAACAACTGTGACAAGATGAGTAGAGTGAGCTTGTTTTATACACTTTGGTCTGCTATTCTTTCTGGCTTTTGATTCCCGAGTATCACATCTGAATACATCTGAATTTCTGCGAACACCGTAAAATCCTGTGAAATGTTAAAGACTTTTCCCCACAGTCAATTTTTCAGTTTATCTGGAATCCCGGTCATTTGGAAATCAACAAGTTGGGCGCTGCTGCCTTTCAGCAGTTTTAACCTAGTGTCTGCTGCTTCAGGTCACTTTCCTTGCAAGGTTGGTGGTACTGTTTTTCCATGTACTGAGTTTTTTGAAAGCATGCTCAGGCCAACTGTGTCTGCCTTTGCATTAAATTTGTCCTGAGACATTGCAACTAGAACAATATTTTATAATGATATTCTTACTATGGTCTTATTAACATCTGTTGCATGCTCATTGTATCAAGTTATAACTAAATCTGAGATATGGTTATAAACAGCAGAATGTCAAATAATTCAACTATGCATGTAGATTAATAGCCTAATCTCACTGCCTGTGTATGGATAGTAAGACAATAACATTTGTCCTATAACTAGTGCACCCAATAAAAATAATAAAGCAAGCACCTACAGTCGAAAGCAGCCAGTCATCAAATGTGTGCTTAATTTGCTTTATTTCTATTAAAATGTGCTATTAATATTATGTAAATATCTAACTCTAGTAAATTCTTTGATGTCTCAAAACTACTACCATATTTTAATTGACTTCTATCAAAAAACCTAAAGTTTATAATCTTTCAAAATAGATGTGAAAATTCTGACTCACAAGGAACACTTTCAGATTTCAACTCTTTACGAAGAGTATGGCTGAGCATTTTTTTACTTTGTGATCTGCTTTAAGAGTAACAGTTTTTAATGCATCGACCATGCACTGACAGTGAGTCAGTACAATGCTGCATGATGAGGCATGAACATTGCAGAGAGAATATCACTATAAAATATTTCTGAAACGTCTTTGTGTAATGACTATTGTACATGGAGGCTTTTGTTCATTGTGGGAAACTAAAAACAAATCAACATTTCATTGACACATGCATGATGCTCTATAGTTTTGTATGTAAACTCTTTCTGTACTTTTCAGTTATCCTTGTCATTGACTTCTCCAAGTTTTTATGCGCAGTCATGTCTTCAGATCATTGATCCTCCTTTACTGTTTTCTTTAAGTTCTGTAAATAAATGTCCATAAATATACATCGATGTTGTCTCTTTTCATAATTAACCATTGTTTTGTAAGGGACCATACTGGCATTTTAACATAAAATGTCACATATAGTATGGAATATACCTGCTGCAAAGGAAAATTAAAGTGTTGGTTTACACCTTGACAAAATACAGCAAATTGGTGTAAACAGGCAGAATTTTAGTTTCATAAGTATCTTGATATCAGATTTTAGACCCTCATAAATTATCAACCCCTTATTATTATTTAATATATGTAGACATGAACATGAGTATACACCTAAATGAATATTTTTTTTGTGTGAAACAACCATGCTAGACTTCCCATGAGCCTTCCTTTTAATTAACATGTATTTTTCATCTCTGCTACAGATTGAAATTTATCAAGCAAAAATTAAAAACAAGGCAATGATGCAGAGAATGAACCCAAAAGATCATTGATTCTTTTCCACTTTATGGAAAAAAAAGTATTATGTCAATGCTCTTAATTAATTTCTATGGTTGTATGCAGGTTGTGATTTGGCATGCTTATTCGAAATGCACTCAGCATGTGTTGAAATTCCTTTAATTCCTTATGTGAATTGTTTGCATATGTGGTTATTATATGTGATTTCATTGTATTTGTATGTACTTGTATCCAAATGTTTCTATTATGCTTGATTTTGCTGGCCATTCTTGGATGACCTAGCAACTCAAGAATCAAAAGTGTTCTGTGCTGTCTCCTGTAATATGTATACTCTCTGATGTTTCGTCATATCTTGTCAGCTTTTAATTTTATTCTTATCCAACAAGATATATTTTATATTTGTTGGAAACAAATTAATGCAAAGACAATTTTAGTAAGCTTTGCTCAGCACAATTATTTATTAAATTGACCACTCTGAGACATTGGAAAATATAACTAATATAACCCTATCTTTTGCAGTTGATCCACCGTCAGACTTGAATTTTAAAATTATAGATGAAAATACCGTTCATATGTCATGGGCGAGACCATCTGATCCAATTGTGGGTTACAGAATAACAGTGGACCCTACCACTGGTAAGTTTTAAGATGGCATTTTAGGATATCAAAATTATCATCTAATTTACTTTTCTCCTATTTCATTATGAGGAAGCTGAGATTTAGAAAGCCTTAGGGAACCAGCTAATGTTACCAGCTCATGGTGGATTCATATCTCTTTATTTCCATTTAGATATCTACTGTTGTGTATATACTTAGGGAGTTTAACTTTTTTGGTATGGTTTTCTGTTCTAATTCATCAGAATATACCTTCGATTCTAAAAAATAGAATTATTACTTTTTGACATTCTTCTTGAATTAGTGGTTACAATATTTAAAGTATCAAGTGAATTACTACAGTCTCCTACACATTTTAGTGCCCAGGAAACATTATTCTTTGATAATGATGAGCTGGTATCCTGGAAGACAAGAATTTATTTTGGCAAAGTGTGTTCTGTAAATTCTAGGTTGAGTCATTGAAAGAAACCACAACGGAAATGTATTTTACTTGTTCTCAGCAGTTATCTTTTGTGTTTGTGATGTTGCTGAAGTGTGTAGAACTAATTTTTCTTGATTAACTTTCAGTTCTAATGTAGAATAGGATAATAATCGTTTTCATTAATATCAAACAACTGGTAGGAAGCAGTTCTGAGTGGCTAGCAGAAGAGGGTATTATGTCAACATACCATCATCAAAGTTGTGTTTAAATATCTGTGGCCTTCATAGATAGCTGTGAACAAAACTTTTAAAAAATTGCAGTATAAGTTATACTATTAAAATACATTTAAGTTTGTTGTTGCTTTATCATTCAAGACCAAGGATTTGTCAGTGTTCAATACAGTTTCCTTGTTCTGTTTCTATATTCAATGAATGAGTGAGATTATCCAGTATTTATTCTTCTCCCTCCCCTTTATTTTGCTTAACTTGATTCCCTACAGTTCAATTCATGTAGCAAACTGCATGATTTCATCTTTCCTTACAGCTGCATTGTATTCGGTTGTGTCTATATACCACAATTCTTTGTTCATCTGCATGGGACATTTGGGTTATGTCCATATCCTAATTGTACTAGGTGTTACAATAAGTTACCAATGCTTTTATTTATTTTTAATTTTTTCCCTTTTTTTATTAGTGAATCACTGTGAGGTATGATTACAGGCTTATAAACTTTTGTGCTTGTGTTTCAGTCATACAATGATCGAGTACCCATCCCTCCACCAGTGCCCATTATCCAGTGGTCTCAGCATCCCTCCCCCACCCCCAGCCCGTCTCCTTCACCCTGCTCCACCTCTGTGGCAGGGCATTCCCTTTTGCTCTCTCTCTCTCTCTCTCTCTCTCTCTCTCTCTCTCTCTCTCTCTCTCTCTCGGTGTTGTGGTTTGCGATAGAGGTATTGAGTGGCCATCATGTTTGGTCTATAGTCTACTTTTGACCTGCATCTTTCAACCTGAATGGATCCTCTCAACATCCTTTACTTGGTGTGCCCTTCTCTATCTGAGCTGCCTTTTCCCCCAGCACGTGAGGCCAGTTTCCAAGTAGTGGAGCAGACCTCCTGGTTCTTATCTCTACTACTCTTACCAATGATTTTAAATAATGTTGTGTTATGGAATTATAAACTTGAAAACAATAATCAGAGAATTTAGGAGTGAGAAAGAACTCAAAGATTCCTTTTTGATTCTTTCCTCCAGATATATTTGTAGCCAATTAAGTATTTTCTTTAATTTCTTGGTCTCAATTTTTTTTGGCAAAAAAATAACATTTAATTAATAAGCATAATTTTAGACAACATACTCAGAATATATATGACCAGGCTTGAAGAGGATAGTTCTAGCATAGATTTATAAAGTATTTCTGTTTTCCACGTTGAACAACTTCCTCCTAGTTTGTGTCAAGCCTTCTTTCTTGCTTCATGGACCCTTATCACCAAGTTCTGTTTGGTTCAGTTGCATAGAGTATGTTTCTAGAGTTGGGATTCTTTTCTGTGATTTTATTAGGATAGTAGTAAAAAGTTGAGGACTGAAGTTTGTTCTCAGTTCAGTTTATCCACTAGTGTCAGACTCTGGCATGAGATTATTTGTTTTGTTTTTCTTATCTTTTTTGGTCTCATAGTTGTTAGATGCTATTTTGAGTTAGATATTATCCTAAAAATCTAATTGGATCTACTTATAATACTATGTCTAAAGATGCTTGGTAAATTCTAACAATGGTTGCATCTTAAAGGGCTGGGGTAGAATAAGATGTTTATATTTACATATCTGTGCCTAGAACATTATTTCAATTGTTATCGCTTTATTTCCTTTATAATTAGTATCTGTACCCATATATTAGCTAATCTTCATTTTTTTAAAATGTAGGAGTAAGTACTGCTATTCATTCAGCCACTGATTAGCTGATTGAATTGTGCATGAACTCCACCTTACTTTTTTATCATTTTTTATAATTTTATTTATTGAATCACCATGAGAGCAGTTACAAAGCTTTTGGGTCTAAGTCTCGGTCAAACAATGAAACACCCATACCTTCACCAGTGCCCATTCTCCACCATCTTGGTCTCAATTTTTAAGGATTTTTTAGATCCTTAAATGTGATATAAGATAGATGATCCTCTTTTTCATTTCAAAGCATAAAAGCAGTGGAAAAGTGTCTATTCCATTTCCATACTTTGGGCATATTTGATTGCTGTACTGCCCAAGCTGAACTGGAAGGCCCTGTATCATAGTTGTATCTAAGCATACTTGGTATTGCATGGCCCACATGCAGTAAACTATGAACGTTTTTCAGGCTCCAGAGACACTTGTTATCTTTCTTGATTATTTATGTTTTGATGAAAACTTAATATAATTAAACACCATTTCCCCCTTCCCTTCCCTCTGTTGTTATTGTCATCTATAAACAAGTATCCCACACATGCCTTATCGTATTGCTTGCACATATGGTCGTGGTGCTTGACGAGGTTCATCCCCTTTACTTGTGGTACTTGCATCTGTGCTAGCCAGGATCACCTGCTTAGTTTTGGCGCTCATACACATTATGGCTGTAGTGTGTTTACTGTGGGGTCTCATGGTGATCACGCATGTACTTGCCAAGTCTGGCGCTTCTGATTCTAGCCCTTGCACAGTTTTTGGTGATGGTGCTTGCTGGAGAGTTGTGCTCTCTTTGTTCTGGTGCTCACACATACTTGACTGGAGAGCAGGATGATTGCACATTAAGGATGATGATGGTGGTGCCAGGGGTCCTAAAACTCAGAGCTGCTGGGGTGGCACTTGGTGCAACTGAGTGACGCTAGGGACGAGCTGGTGCCTTTATGCTTGCGAGGGAACTCTTATTTGTCACAGAGCCACTCCAGGAACCCCATAGTTAGAAATCTTAAGCACACTGTCTGTAGGAATTATACTTGAACTGATGGTACATTAGAAGTAACTGATGGCACATAAAAGAAGACCTACTCCATATCACCTTGAAACACTTTGTATTTAGTTAAGTCATTCTTTGTGTTGCTCCGTTTTGGATATGTAAGCTCAGGGTCTGCTTCTGGTCCTGTGTTTAGGTGTTGTGCATGTAGTCTATGAGAAGTGTGCGGTCCTGGGAACCGAATCCAGACCCTGTACATGTTAAGCGTGTGCTTTAGCCCTTGAGCAATCTCGCTGGCATCTAGTTAATTCAGTTTAGAGGACCAGGCATGTCCAGCAATACATGCACTTATTTAAGCGTGGAGGATTCATTCTGTGCTTGCGGTGTTTCTCGTTAGTGTTTGATTTTGGCCTCTGAGGCTTGTTGAGTTGATTTCTTTTTAATCTCATCTCTCTATCTGCTTGCCTCGGAGGAATAATTTTGTTATTTATGAGAATAAGTTATTTATATATTAGTTATGAGAATTTTATAATTTTCCATAAGTCCTCAGAAACAAGAAGATTTTTGGTTTGAATTCTGGTACGCTTTTAATCTAGTGGAATCTTTGAGTCCTTAAACAAGTATTGAACATGATTGTAACAAGTAAAGGCAATGTCAAGGCCAGAGAGATAGTACAGCAAGGAAGGTGCTTGCCTTGCATGCAGCTAACAGAATTTAATTCTCAGAACCTCATATCGTCCCTCAGCACTGCCAGGAGTGATCCCTGAGCACAGAGCTAGGAGTAAACCCTGAGCACTTCCAGATGTGGCCCAAAATCCTAAAAAGAAAATCAAGCAGTGCCATTCCACTTATTACATTTCTAGAATTCAAGTATTTGGGTTTGAGAAGCAGTAAAAAATAATGATCACATATTCTGAAGATTTATTGATCTATCTTTAACTTGCAATTTGAATCTTTATCTGGTAGTTTTGTTATACTATGCTGTATGTGAGTAGTGTTTTGTTGCATTCTTATTTTCCTTTCTCTATTTCTAGATGGGCCTACTAAAGAATTTACTCTTGCAGCGAGTACCACGGAGACTTTATTATCAGACCTTATACCTGAAATAGAGTATGTGGTGACAATCACCTCATATGATGAAGTAGAAGAAAGTGTACCAGTTATAGGCCAATTAACAAGTAAGCAGAAATATAAAGTACTTTTGTAGTTTTTATTTTGCAAATATTTCATCTTTCATTTTTGTATGCTATTCTGCTGAGTCACACCCACCAACTGGCCCCCTGGTGCCGTGTAATACCATCAGCGGCCAAGACTCAGAGACTATAAAAACCAGATCCCGGAACCGCGCGGCCGCATTTGCGGCTGCGCGACATCTTATTATGACATCTTATCATCTCATTCCTACTTTGGACAAACTGGCAGGTTACCAAATGTAGCCTGCCTACAGGGCAGAGTCTGGCAAACTCCCCGTGGCGTACCAAATATGCCAAATACCAGTAACAATGATGGGTCTCATTCTCCTAAAGAGCCTTGAATATAATCTCAGGGCTAGGATGAAGGAGACGTTACTGGGGCCTGCTCGAGGCAATCGATGAATAACAGGATGATTTGTGATTTTGTGATTCTGCTGAGTGTATTTATGTTAGTAGCAACTGTTTTTCTACGACCCTGACCATTAGTAGATGTGAATGACTTATTCTTGATTTATAACCTTGGTTTCTGGAAATAACAGGAATGTTATAAATGAAAACTATTAAAGTCATTAAAAGATGCCAGGCAAGAATGTTAATGTCTTTTTGGAATATATAAAATATATAAAATCACACTAAAAATAATGTATTTGCAAGGAATGTTTATTTGGCAGTATTACTTAGCATAGATTAGTAAGCTAATAGAAAAATATTAGACAACAGTGAAAGACTATAGTGAAAGACTGTAATTATTTCCCTCTTAGAAATTATTTTTCTGGGTTCAGTGCCTTTTGTAATGATTGGGTTTTGACTCAGTTGAAACAGGTGGTCCCTCGAAGCCTGGGAAGAAACCTGGAAAAGCAGAGATACAAAGTAAGTGTTTTCTTTAATCTTTTGATCTCAATTTTTAGAATTCATAAATTGTGATATAAAGCGGATGATCCAATTGTATACATAATTTGATTTTATAACCAAGTTTATTTGATAAGTTTTTTTCTAGAATCAGACAATCCAATAATATCAGCTATTATGCACCTATTCTGACTTTCTGATACAAATTTCTATTTACTAATTTTTTTTTCTAGAAGTGTTTTAAATTTGTGACCAAATTTTCATGCAGAATTTTGATAGTAGGCGCAAAACAAAACATATGACAAATTTTAACTTGTTTTAAACAGACAAACTGATACAAACATGTCATAATTTAAGGGTCTTTGCGAAATATGAGGCAGGAACATGGGAAATTATTTTAAGCGATTCAGTTGCCACAAAAATGTATTTCTAAGCCTATGGGTATTATGTTCAGTTATAGGATATTTCAATGATATCAGTTTATGGTAGTTATATATAAGCCCTTCCAGAGTTCCTATAAAATATTTATGATAAACAGGTATGGTCATAATTAGATGAAATACATTTTATTTAGTCTAAGTTTTGCCATTTCTAGTCTTCCTTTGTTCTATACTGCTTTGCTTGATTGAAGGTAAAACTTTGAGGGTTTTCTTAACCATCTAATTTTGCTGTTATAAAGTTGTATTTATGACTCAGGACGATAATAAAAAGATTATTAACACAGAGTGTCTCTTATCTAGAATCTTTCCTCCAGATTACTGTTTATAATCCATCCTAGTATCTAATAATCTAAAATGAAGCTTATGGGGTGTAGTTTCAAAGCTATTATTATCCTTGAACCTTCAAGATTTATTTTAAATCGAAGCAGTATGCCAAACATTGACCTTTCAATAGACTTAAATTGGCCCATTAAACAGTGTGTAAAAACTATTTAGGCAAGCAACTTGTATTTGGCCTGCAAAATTTTCCAGGACCCTTTCCTCTTCTTTCTATTCAAATACTTCTTTTATTACCCACTAACTGAATGCAAGAACAGAAACATCTTCAGAAAACTCAGAATTGCCAGATGAACAAAGGAGTTTCGTGAAAACGAAGCTGTCCTCCTTCCGTTTCTAATCCCACCCCACTTACATCACAGAGAGAAAGAAAGATAATTTGGTTATAAAAACATAATGATTGAATTTTATAAATTTAAGGATAACAAGTGTATTTAGACTTTTGAAGTTTCTCCTTTTTTATAGCAAAATAGGTTTGAGCTGTTAAATTTAAATACATTATGAGATAATAAAAAGATATTCTGTCTTGCATGATATTTATGCTTGTTTTTACTTCTTTTAAGATATGATAACATAATAATGCTCTCCAAAAGTCATCAGATTTACTTGGCCTAAAATCCCCTTTTAGTAATTAAAAAAACCTTTGTGCTCCCTGGAAATATATCTTCTTTAAGTAAACCACAGAAAACAACCTCCAGTGACACCCAAGAATATGACCGTGCCCTTGGATTTATCCAATGCTTAGTATTGTCCCTTTTTGGGAAACACTGCTAAGACTAATCACCAAACTTTAAACAGTTCTACTGTGAAATACTGTTTTAAAAACAGTTCTACTGTTAAATACTGTTAAATTTAGGGGTGCTTGATAGCACAGCTGTAGAGCGTTTGCCTTGCATGCAGCCAGCCCTGCCGACCCAGGTTCGATTCCTCCGCCCCAATCAGAGACCCCAGCAAGCTACCAAGAGTATCTCGCCTGCACGGCAAAGCCTGGCAAGCTGCCCATGATATATTCAATATGCCAAACACAGTAACAAGTCTCAAAAATGGAGACATTACTCGGCCCACTCGAGCAAATCGATGAACAACAGGAGGACAATGACAGTGACAGGACTGCTAAATACAGGACAATGTTAAGAGATTTGCTCTTTTATAAACTCAGCAGCGTGAACGGTGCAAGTTTTATATTTATTAATAAATACCAAGCAATAGATTACATTTCTTTTATCTGTCTCCAGATGTTTTATATGTTTTTTTTTTCTTGGAGAAAGGAGTGACAGTATAGTGTATAAAAACTATGGACAATTGATAGTGCTGGAAAAATAGTACAGCGGGTAAGGCGCTTGCCTTGCATGCGGTGGACCCAGGTTAGTTCCCCAGCACCACATGGTCTCCTGATCCCTGAGAGTAGAGTCAGGAATAAGCCTTAGGACTATTGGGTGTGGCATCAAAACAAAACAAAACAAAAAAATAGGACCATTGATAGCGTAATAGTAGGATAATTAGTCTTGGAGGGTAGGTCACATATCTATTTATATTTTCTTGCATTATGTTTTATATAGCAATTTAAAGACCTAGTTTAATGAATACAGGTTTATTAAGGAATTAAATGCCTTTATGAGCATTACTAAAATAGTTTTATTCTTTTGAGCTTGTCAGTTTTGGGTGAATAGCAAATGAATATGTTCTAATGATGAGCAGATGATAAAAAAACAGCATTTTTGCAATATTAGTTTGTACTTCTTAATGTTTGATAATGCATTGTTTAATAACATATTAAATATATTTCAGAATGCTCTGTCAGTGCCTGGACTGATTTAGTGTTCCTAGTTGATGGCTCATGGAGTGTCGGAAGAAATAATTTCAAGTACATTTTAGATTTTATTGCTGCTCTTGTGTCTGCATTTGACATTGGTGAAGAGAAGACAAGGGTTGGAGTTGTTCAGTACAGCTCTGATACCAGGACTGAATTTAACTTAAATCAGTACTACCAAAGGGATGAACTTCTTGCTGCAATTAAACAAATCCCATATAAAGGTGGAAACACAATGACAGGTATGTTTCAACAAATTTTGTCTGTGTTTAAAATAAGTACAGTATTTGTTTGGGAGCAAAAGAATTAAAAAATTATTATATGTCTTATAACTGCAAGATATATTACATGATTTTTGACTCTGGCAAGTTGTGTAGAATGCAGTGAATGAAGATGATTAAGATGCTTCCTTTTAACTTCAGGGGATGCCATTGATTACTTAGTTAAAAATACTTTCACTGAATCTGCTGGAGCAAGAGTTGGCTTTCCTAAAGTGGCAATTATTATTACGGATGGCAAATCCCAGGATGAAGTGGAAATTCCAGCCAGAGAGCTTCGCAATATTGGGGTTGAAGTTTTCTCTTTGGGTAAGTAAAATCGGATTATTTTCATTTTGGTACTACTTTAACTGTTAATGTTAAGAAGAATTAAGGGTCGAATCCTCAGGAAAAGATGCTATTGAAAGTGTTTACTACATTTGATCCCTCTCGGAGAGCCCGGCAAGCTACCGAGAGTATCTCGCCCGCACGGCAAGGCCTGGCAAGCTCCCCGTGACGTATTCGATATGCCAAACACAGTAACAACAAAGTCTCCAATGGAGACGTTACTGAGCCCGCTCGAGCAAATCGATGATCAACGGGAGGGCCTTTACCTTTGCTTTACTTACATTTGATAGGGTAGTGTTAAGCCAAGCCATCTTTGAGAAAAATTCTGCTTATCCATTTCTCTCATTTATTTCTCTTTGCATATGTATGACCTGGGTTGGTATCACATTCTTTGCCAGTTCTCTGCTTTTCAAATAACGCTGGGCCAGTGATTCTAAGAGAGCTCTTCTTTGCACTATTATTTAGTATTTTATTATAATAATTATCATTATTTATTGGGGGGAGTACAATACCCAGTGGGTGTTAGATGGGGCTGACTCCTGGCTCTGAATTTAGGGGTTCTACTGGGGGGCTCAGCGGACCGTTTGTGGTACCAGACATCTAACGGGATCAACTATGAGCAAGGCAAGCACTTTGATCCCTGTCCTGTATCTCCAACCAGCTACTTCGTACTTTAAAACAAATTTGTTTCTTACATTATGTAATAGTTAAAGAATTCAGAGAAGCCCAGTTCATTCAGAACTCCAAAAGAAAAAAGTATTATCTTTACAGATGGCCGGGACAAGTGATGGCATGGTTGGGATGAGAGCCCACTCTGTTTTACTAACCATTCATTTTCCTCTCTGGCTGACTGCTTTATGCGAAATTATAAAATGCCTTTGTCATTTGATAGTTGCACATTCTTGTGAAGTAAAGTGATTCTGGTCGATGACAAGAAAGATTTGAAAGTGTCTCCACTGTGCAAGACTGGGAGTATTTTTCCAAATTCAGTAGAGTTACCTTTTCACCATCTTCTTCTTTTGATTTAAAGGCATTAAAGCTGCAGATGCAAGGGAACTCAAACAAATTGCCTCCACACCTTCACTAAACCATGTTTTCAACGTGGCTAACTTTGATGCCATTGTGGACATTCAGAATGAGATCATCTCCCAGGTGTGCTCAGGGGTCGATGAACAGCTTGGTGAACTGATCAGTGGAGAAGAAGGTGAGCAGATTGTTGAGTTTCCCAGGTGTTAGCCTTTCCCACAGTTTGATAGCATTTATAGCTTTATAGGTGTCCTAGAATTGGTCACATTTACTCAGATATCTCCTCCAGTGATTGTTCAGTTGTATATTCCATTTGCATTATTTTTCAGTAAGTTATTGATATACTTTGCTTTGCTTCCCCAGTAAGATTTTAAATATATCATCATAAACTTCTTGAAAATCTCTTTTTTTTGGGAAAAATTTGATTGATTTAATCTATATAAGGTAAGGTAAAGGCCCTCCCGTTGATCGTCGATTTGCTCGAGCGGGCCCAGTAACGTCTCCATTGGAGACTTTGTTGTTACTGTGTTTGGCATATCGAATACTCTCGGTAGCTTGCCAGGCTCTCCGAGAGGGGCGGAGGAATCGAACTCGGGTTGGCCATGTTGGCCGCTTGTAAGGCGAACGCCCTACCCGCTGTGCTATTGCTCCAGCCCCTTTAATCTATATATTTAAGATAATTTGATGCATGCTAAGAGTCTATCCATAACTATTCAGGTCCTTAATTTCATTTTTTTACATTATGATTTAAATATTGTCATGCTGAAAAAGCATTGATTTTTGTCATACTGCAACTAATGCTAGTAACAACACTATTTCTATTAAGTAGAAGGAGAAATGTTATTTATCATTATACTTGGTACAATTTTTCAAAACCTTTAAGACAGTTTTAAAGATCAGTTAATTTTATCCTCTTCCGCATGGTAAAATTCCCATATTAATCAGTTACTGCTTTTGAGTACAGTGGAGAACAAGACATTTCATAAATATCTTTTAGGGCATTACAAAGTCATGATCCATGGTTGTTTTCCTCTTAGCCCAAAACTTAATAAATGATTAAAAGATAAGTTCTAGATAGCTACATCTTCAGTCACAATAAACTCCCAAACCAACAAAATATTTTGGCAGTATTTATTGACTGTAATTGTATATTCAGGACTCTTTTTTTATTACTTAATATACTCTATTTTTTAAAAAAATATTGTTTCTGTATTTGGCCCACACCCTCCTGGGCTCAGGCCTTACTCCTGGCTGTGCACTCCAGGAATCTCTGTTGGTGGGCTTGAGAAACCATATGGGGTGCCAGGAATCGAACTTGGGTTGGTTGCATGCAAATCAAATCCTCTACTCACTTTACTATCACTTTGGTCCTTGAAATATTTTTGTTTTACTGCATAATAGCTGAATTTTTGTTCTTTGTCTACCTGCAAAGTATAACTTTCTGTCTACTTTTACTAAGATTAAACTCTTCTACCCAATCTTTTAATTTATCTAAATTCTTCCCTGTTTTTACTAGGTTGCATTTGTAAGGATGGGCCAAGTTTTAATTCTGTGTTTTTGATATCCCACTTTGGAACTCACCTAGACACCATGGAAGTGTACAAAGACGCTTATCTTGTGCTACAAGAAGTCTGAGTCCTTATGTTATCAGCCGTCTGAGCTCTTCTTTTGCATTTCCCCAATCTCCCAATTTTCCTGACAATTTTAATTCTATAAATCCAGGGCAAGCATTTCCCTATGATACCTTCCATTCTCTTGTCTTGTTACTATATATATTATAGATAACTAAGAACATCCATTTGTCCTCTCCCTGACTTACTTAACATGACCCCTCCCAGTTCCATCTAAGTTGCAGTGAACTGTATGATTTCATCCTTCTTTGTGGCTGCATAGTATTCCATTGTGTGGATATATAACGTAACTTCTTTAAGGGTATTTTTTTGATGATGAAAATTTATTTTCCAATCTTCATATAGCAAGCCAGTGTTACAACTCTAGTGGCATTGCTTACATTTTTGAACATTTTCTCTTATCTTGAAATACCTAGCAATGGAATTATTTTAAATAGTAGGACCCTTAAAAATCTCTGAGGGACTGGGGATGTGGTTCAAATTAGTTTTTGAGTTTCATTTCCTGTCCTTCATGACTTCCATGACTATCTGGAGAGGCTCTGGCTCCCGAGTATTGCTGGGTGTTGCCTCCATGACAAGAACAACAGAAAGAATCGCTAAATATTTATCTTACCTGGCATTTTACAAAATATTTCTTGAAGATTGAATTTTTATTGTATGGTATTGAAAAAGAAAACTTAAAAAAGAATTTATAATTAATTTATCTAGTAAATATTTTCTACTTTGGTTGGTGCCTAGGAATAAAGGCATTAAGTAAAATACCCAAAGCAAAATTGAAATTCTATCTCAGACCAGAATTAGGTGTTAGATGCCCTATTTCTTCTGAGATACATTTTTTTTCTTTTTGCCACAAATTTCTTAGCTCCCTGATTAAAAATCATCTATTCATTGCCTTTTTTCCCCTTTTGGATTACTGGTGGAATGGGTGGGGAGTTGCATTAGGAAAAGTCTCTCTGATGGATACATGATTAATTTGAAAAGGGATAATTGAAGATCCAAACCTAGAGACTTGGTTCATAGGGTTTTGTCTCACTGTCTTAATTGTTGTTCTGCTTCTCACTTTTAAAGTTATTGAACCTCCTTCAAATTTGGTTGCGATGGAAGTTTCATCAAAATACATTAAGCTAAGCTGGAATCCATCTCCCAGTCCGGTGACTGGCTATAAAGTGCTCCTCACACCCATGACCACCGGAAGCCGACAGCATGTTCTCAGTGTGGGGCCCCAGACAACCATGCTTAGCGTGCGTGACCTGTCAGCAGACACAGAGTATCAGATAAGTGTTTCTTCCATGAAGGGACTGACAACCAGTGAACCGGTTTCAATAATGGAGAAGACTCAGCCAATGAAAGTTCAAGTGGGTAAGTGGGTGTATGGGTGGGTTTGGAACACGTGACAGTCCTTTAGACAGTAGGACTTACTGATTCAGGTTTAGTTTTATTTTATTTTTTGTTTTTGGGCCACACCTAACAGTCCTCAAGATTTACTCTTGGTACCCCTTGGAGGGGCTCAAAGGACCATATGGGGTACCAGTAACTGAACCCAGGTTGGAGTTGCACCAGGCAATCCACCCATATCTGCTATACTATCTATTTCTCCAGTCCAGGTTTAGTTCTTAAACAAAATATTTCCAGTAGTTTACTTTTAAAGAAGCTTCCTTACCAAAAGATCAGTACCTGTATTTTTATGATTAATTCAAATTTGCTGAACTTTAATAGGATTTATTTATTTTTTACAGAATGCTCACGTGGTGTGGACATTAAGGCTGACATTGTGTTTTTAGTTGATGGTTCCTATAGCATTGGAATTGCAAACTTTGTTAAAGTTCGAGCCTTTTTGGAAGTTCTTGCGAAGAGTTTTGAGATTTCACCGAATAGGGTACAGATAAGTCTTGTCCAGTATAGCCGGGATCCGTATACTGAGTTTACTTTGAAAAAATTTAATAAAGTTGAAGACATAATTGAAGCAATCAACACCTTCCCCTACAGAGGAGGATCTACAAACACTGGCAAAGCAATGACATATGTCAGAGAGAAAATATTTGTGCCTAGCAAGGGTTCAAGAAGCAACGTACCAAAGGTCATGATTCTTATCACTGATGGAAAATCTTCAGATGCTTTCAGAGATCCTGCTATAAAACTTAGGAACTCGGATGTTGAAATCTTTGCAGTTGGTGTGAAAGATGCCGTGCGTTCAGAGTTGGAAGCTATTGCCTCTCCTCCTGCCGACACACATGTGTTCACAGTGGAAGATTTTGATGCTTTTCAGAGGATATCTTTTGAACTTACACAGTCTATCTGCCTTAGAATTGAGCAAGAATTGGCAGCTATCAAGAGAAAAGGTTAGTAGACCAGATAGCGTAAAGGCTATCTCTATGAGCAACTAAGCATCTTTAGTTTTAAAATTGTATGTAATATGCTCTTATCTTTTTTACATCTATTGAACATTGATTTATATCTGTTAAAATGATCAGGTGGAGTTTATTTAGCTAAACAATATGACTTTCTCCTGCATATACATCATGTGTTTATTGCTGTAAATAAGTCATGAGATAATGTTTCTGAACTTCTCAAGCAGACTGGGGGCCAACTTTATCATGCCAATATCTTATACAATAATCACGAATTGAATATTCTTTGAGTTAGATACTGAATAAAAGGTGAAAAGCATATAGTCCAGGCCATTTGAATTTTCTTTATAGATTCACTTTCTGTGACCATTTTTTGCATTATTTTTATCTTTAGAATACCATTTTCATTTTTCTTCATTTGTTCAATTCTATTTTTCATTCAGTTAAGGCTTCTTCTTCTTCATCAAGACTTAACTGTTTTAGTGCTACACTTTCATATATTTACATGCATAAATATGTTAATAAATATATTTAGTGCTAATATGCTTTCATATAAGGCTATCATATGTATACTACTGTTAATAAATTACACTGTCTTGTCTCTCTAATTTGTCTGTTCCATGAAGACAAAAAGTGTGCCCTAAGTATTGTCTTTTTTTTAATAATGTAATTGAACAAATATTTTTTCTAGGAAAATTCTTTAATTATTACTTTAAATATCTGGTTACTATCAAAAGGTGATATTTGAGGGCACAATAGGGAGATATGGGATTGTGTATGTGTGTGTGTGTGTGTGTGTGTGTGTGTGTGTGCACGTGCATGTGCATGCATTTGCTATGGATTGAACCCAGGGCCTCATCTACCTGTGGAAGGCAGGCACTCTACTACAGAGCAGCATCTCTGCCTCAAATGGGAATATTTGGATGGAAATCTTAAGTTTGTTACAATTCAGATTTTCCAGTTGTGGGTAGGCTTTTTCTGTTACTTCTTTGCCTTAGATTAAGAAGCTGAAATTTCAAATTTAAAGTTAGTTATTTTTTTTAATTGGTTTTTTTTTTCTTTTTGGATCACACCCAGCGATGCTCAGGGGTTACTCCTGGCTCTGCACTCAGGAATGACTCCTGGCGGTGCCCGGGGGACCATATGGGATGCTGGGAATCGAACCTGGGTTGGCCGCGTGCAAGGCAAACGCCCTACCCGCTGTGCTATCACTCCAGTCCCTAAAGTTAGTTATTTAAACCGCAGATCATAGTATTGTGAATAGTCAACATACATATCAGGATCATCTTTTAGGACTGTGAGATGTTCCCAAAGCTCAATAATGATGTGTATAGTATTTAGAGTATTGGTCTTAGTGACCATACTTCCAAAATGGTACAAGCCATTAGAGAAACATTTAGTTATGAGGTCAGTTTTGCTTTATTGATGAAAAATTTTTAATAATTTTTTTTCTCTTTCTCTTTTTTAAAATAGCTTACGTGCCTCCAAAGGATCTTAGATTTTCTGAGGTGACTTCTTACAGTTTCAAAACAAATTGGTCTCCTGCTGGAGAAAATGTTTATTCATACCACATCACCTACAAAGAAGCTGCTGGGAATGATGCAGTTACCGTGGTGGAGCCAGCATCCAGCACCAGCGTTATCCTCAACAACCTGAAGCCAGAGACCCTGTACTTGGTCAATGTGACTGCAGAGTATGAGGATGGCTTCAGCGTTCCCTTGTCAGGAGAGGAGACCACTGGAGAAGGTGTGAGGGTGTTTCTGTCACTGTTTTCCCAAGCCCAGAAGTTTATGGTTGAATGGAGTTACAGTTGGAAATTACCACTGATTTCTAGTTCTGAATGGTGACTGGTTTTCTCAGATTCGGAACTTTAGAAAACACATCTTGGGGGTAGGGAGATAATACAGGGGTGAAGGTACTTGCTTTGCAGGTAGCTGACCCAGGTTAAGGAGAAGTCTGGTGTGGGTTCTTTCCTGCCAAACCAGATCAGACTAGACCAAGCCACAGCTATTCGTAATTTTAAAAAGTGAAAAAAAGATTTTTGGGAAAAACCCTTTATTTTGGATAAATTTGGGTTACGTGATGTAGAGAACTGTTAATAATTATGGAATTAATTCTTGTAATACTGCTTATCCAGCTTTTCTGTCCATGGTTCAGCAATGCCATTTGCTGAAACTTCTGTCATGTACAGTACTTCTTTTATTTTAAATTTTTAAAAAATTTTTTATTAGTGAAATACCATGAGGTACAGTTGTAGATTTACAAATTTTGTGCTTGGGTTTCGATTATACAATGATCAAGTACCCATCCCTCCACCAGTGCTCATTTTCCACCACCATGGATCCCAGTATCCCTCCCACCTCCATTCCCCCCCATTTCACCCTGCCCTTTTGTTCTCTCTCTCCTTTTGTTCTCCTGCCCTTTTGTTCTCTCTCTCCTTTTCTCCAATGGTCTGCAAGAGAGGCATTGAGTGGCAGTCAGGTTCAGTCCATAGTCTACTTTCAACATGTATCTCCCCTCCTGGGAGGATCCTCCAAAACCCCTTTATTTGGTGCTCCCTTTTCTGTCTGAGCTGCCCTTTCCCCTAGAATGCCTGGCTGGCCTCTAAGCCATGGAGTAATCCTCCTGGTACTGATCTTAGCTATTATTGGATATTAATCTCCTATTTTGTTACTTTATGTCCCCCAGATGAATGCAATCTTTTTTATGTCTATCCCTCTCTTTCTGACTTATTTTGCTTAGCATGATACTTTCCATGTGGTACCACTTGTATGTAAAATTTCATGACTTCATCTTTTCTAACAGCTACATAGTACTTCATTGTGTAGATGTACCAAAGTTTCTTTAACCAGTCATATGTTCTTGGGCACTCAGGTTTTTTCCAGCTTCTGGCTATTGTAAAGAGTGCTGCAATGAACAAACAAGTGCAGATGTCTCTTCGACTATACTTTTTTTGCCTCTCTGGGATACATTCCCAGGAGTGTTATAGCTGGGTCAAATGGGAGCTCAATTTCTAATTGTTTGAGAATCATCCATACTGTTTTCCAAAAGGGCTGAACCAGTCGACATTCCCACCAGCAGTGAAGGAGTGTCCCTTTCTCACCACATTCGCGCCAGCACTGGTTGCTTTTGTTCTTTTGGATGTGGGCCAGTCTCTGAGGTGTCAGATTGATGTACAGTACATCTGAAATCTTCTCACTTCATATATAGATCTGATGGCAAATATTTATCACCATGTTTTTTTTCGTACCTAACATAAGATTTTTCATTTAGAACAATCTTCAGTGCACATTTTGGTGTATTGATGGCAACATTGATGGCAACATATTATTATATTTCCATCACTGTCATCCACCTCTAGAACTTTTTTATCTTGAAAACCAGAATGTACTCATAAACAGTTCCTTTCCGTATTGACACTGGTGCCTATCATCCTATTTTTAATTTTTCTTGTTGGACTATTATCGGTGCCTCAGATGAGTGGATTCACATAGATTTTGTTTAAAAGGGTATTATTGATCAAAAATCCCGTAGCCATTGAGGATTGACATTTAGCTTTAGGGAGAATGGCTTGCGTGTCTTTCTAAAAGAGAATGTTTCCTTTCAAAAGTCTAATTTGTAATAATGCATTTGATTTGTCTCTTATATTCAGGAATTTTTTCCTGAATGTAAAAAAAGGGTATTATTGAGCCAACAGTATTTACATACAGTCCAGTTTTTGGTCATTAGGTTGCCTGCATAGAATTTGGTAGTGAACTTTCAATTCTATTATCTGCATGAAATCTGAGATTAAAATCTTTTTAAATCAACAGGGACATTTTTAAGTCCATGTCTTTGTTAAGCTAGCAATTATTAAGTTCCTGTCATGTGTCAGACTCTGTGGCAATTGCTGCTCATGAATTGTCTCATTGAATTACTTCAATAATTCTATAACTGGCTGCATTTTTACTACAGGCTAATCTGAGTCTCAAAATGTGTATTTGTTATGCTTCAGAGGATTCAAACCCATTAGTTTACTTTCCATATTTATTCTGAAAAAGTTAGCCTTTCTTTCTATATAAAGTTTGAATCATGGATGTAAATCTGTTCGCTGATATTTTTTATTTTTCCTTAAGTATAAACTTCTTTTCTATTTACAGTAATCTATTGTTATGGTTGATATTAGGTAAATTTTCAGTTGAATTGAAATAGATGCAGAGATGCTGGGCCGTGATTTTCCCTTAGTGGATTGAGAGGACAATAAAGTTCATTTTATTTTTCCCTGAATGTGTTATCCATTGTACAATTTGCCCCTTGAATAGATAGGTCATGACAATTTCATTTGGCTTAATAAAAATTTCAATTAAGACTGAATCTAAGAGCATGTACTCACAGTGCTATTAAATCTCAGTATCTATATTAAGTATTAGGTATTATTTTATTGCTTTTTTGAGAAAATTATTCAGAGTGAAAGTCTTGGTTACTTATATTTGAAGAATGAGTGATACAGATTCTTAAATTTTGTCAATATAAATTTACTATTTAATAGAATTTTATGAAAGTTTACTAATTCATGCCTTGTTACTTAACTAAAATTTTAAGAGCATAATTTTTCTCCTAAAGATTGTAGAGCATTTGTTTTTAGAAGTAAGTCATATAGAACTAAATGAATTCAATAACTAGGATATTTGTTCAAAGTCTGGTCATGGGCTTGTCTGGAGATTAAACTGTAATTTAATGGTATAAGTAAGCTGGTTTTTGATTTTTCATATACAGTAAGTAAACTTATTTATTTTTAAATTTCAGTAAAGGGAGCACCTCGAAACTTAAAGGTGACAGACGAGACCACGGATAGCTTTAAAATCACTTGGACTCAAGCTCCAGGGCGAGTTTTAAGGTATCGAATTAGATATAGACCAATTCCAGGTGGAGAAAGCAGAGAGGTTACTACACCAGCCAATCAGAGGAGAAGAACATTGGACAACTTGACTCCAGACACAAAATATGAAGTTTCTGTAATTCCTGAATATTTCTCTGGACCTGGCACACCATTAACTGGAAATGCAGCCACTGAAGAAGGTAGAGGAAATATGTTGACCATATGGTAACCGCCAAGATCTTAAGTTTCCGGGGAAACTTTAGACAACTGTTTAGACAACTCTTCAGATAACTTAAATGAGAAACTTTGTCTCATTTACTGAAGATTTTAGACGATAGCCCTTTCAGACTTGATTGATTCAAAACGGTTGTGTCAGTGGAACTTATTTGCATTCCAGTGTCTCCTACATCCCTCCACTACTTCCCTCGGTGCAACTTGGCTGATGAGTACTTCCTGCAGAGTCTTTCATCTTCCCACCTGCTTTCTTCATCTTTGCCTTAGAAAGTCACTTCTCCCATTCTCTTTCTAATGGGTCATCTAGAACTTTTTTTGTGCTGTGTACGATAAAGAAATCTAGTGACTATTTTTCTGAGTAGAACTGAGGCTGTCTCCTTAGCAAGCTTAGTGGAGAATATCAGTATTTTTAAAATTTATTTATTTACTTAGTAATGAATCACTGTGAGGTACAGTTAGACTTACAAACTTCTGTGCTTACGTTTCAGTCATACAATGATCAAGTACTGAATATCAATAGTTAGGTGTTTTCTGGGGCTGGAGCGATAGCACATTTGGTAGGGTGTTTGCCTTGCACGCAGCCCAGCCAGGTTCGATTCCTCCGCCACTCTCGGAGAGCCTGGCAAGCTACTGAAAGTATCTCACCCGCATGACAAAGCCTGGCAAACTACCTGTGATATATTTGATATGCCACAGTAACAAGAAGTCTCACGATGGAGACGTTACTGGACCTGCTCGAGCAAATCGATGAACAATGGTAGGACAGTGCTATAGTGCTAACAGGTGTCTTCAGACCCTTCAGAGTGACAATTCCTCTCAGAAAAGTCAGCAGAAGCCAGACATTAGCATTGATAAGAGCTGGGCTACCCCTGAAGCTATACTTCACTTAGGCTATTTCCTTCTTAATTTTTGTTGTTATTGTTGTTTTGCTCCTAGGATATCATTCTAATCATAGTCATATTTTCAACATATCAGCATCTTAGCAGACCATTAAACTTTAGATGGTGGTGGCATCACAGAAGAAACTCCCCCCCCCTTTTTTTAAAAGTTTTTTTCCCTCTTAGAGATAAAAATTCTAGATATTGATATATTTTATAGTGTTTTGTTTTACTCTTGATTTTGTTTTTTTTTTTTTTGCTTTTTGGGTCACACCTGGCAATGCACAGGGGTTACTCCTCGCTCATGCACTCAGGAGTCACTCCTGGCAGTGCTCAGGGGACCATATGAGATGCTGGGAATCGAACTTGGGTCGGCAGTCTGCAAGGCAAACACCCTACCTACTGGGCTATCTCTCCAGCCCCTTGTTTTACTCTTAAGGTAAACATTGTAGTTCTTTTACAGGAGTGATTCTAACGTGGAAGGTTAAAACTTAAAAACTTAAAAAAATCATTTATTTAGCTACATAGTCTTTAATAACAGAGTTTTGGGCATTAAATGTTATACTTTGAACCCATCAGCAGTTTCTTTCTTTGTTTTTGTTTTTGGACAACTCCTGGCAGTGCCAGGAGCAGTAAACCCTGAGGCTCTGTGCTAAGGGATCATTCCTGGTGGTAATCAGGCCACCTTATGAGATGGTGGAGTTCCAACCCAGATTGGCAGTGTGGAAGGCAGAACACCCTACTTGCTGTACTATCACTCCAGTCCCCCATCAGCAGTTTTTATGTCCTTCCACTAATGAGCAAATGTTTTTTCCCTCTCTCCACCATGTCTCCTTAGCAAGCTTATTTAATTTTTTTAAAAGTTACTATAGTTTGGATTATATATTTACCACAGTGTTTACTTTTATGGTTCTGATGAGCACACCTACGTCATATTTAAACCATTGGGATGTCCAAGGCTTTTGACCAGTGCCCTTTCTAACATAAAAGATTATTTGGATTATTTACCACACTTTGGTGGTAATCAGGGTATACTCCTAGCACTGTACTTAGGGATCACTCTTCTTCGGTTCTGGAGACAATATATAGTGTTCGGGATTGAATCTGGATCAGCCACATGCAAGGCAAGCACCTTACGCACTTATTGTCCCTCTAATCCCTAACATGAAAGATTTTACATGAAGGATTTCTAATGTGTCAACACAGGAAAGGAATTGTTCATCATTTACTTTGCTTCTACTGTTATTGCATTTGGGCTGCTTTAGAAATGCATCAACTCTGCTGGCTCCTCAAGGGTTTTAACTGTCATAATCTCAACCTGGATTTAAATATGATATTGCGCACATATGCTAGAAAGGATCTTACAAGTCTTTTTATTAAATAACTAATTTTATGTGTTTTTTTTTAAATAAAGTTAGAGGGAATCCTAGAGACTTACAAGTTTCTGACCCTACAACATCAACTATGAAATTATCTTGGAGCGGAGCACCAGGAAAAGTCAAACAGTACCTTGTCACGTACACTCCAGAGTCAGGAGGTGAAACTCAGGAGGTCACTGTGAGGGGAGATACAACCAGTGCAGTGCTGACAGGACTACAGGAAGGAACCAAATACGCCTTATCTGTAACAGCCTTATATGCATCTGGGGCTGGAGAGGCCCTTGAAGAAGAAGGAAAAACACTTGAAGGTAATTACTGCCCTGCATAGAATCCCTCAGCTTGTTTTTGGTTTCCATTAGGAAGTTTAAAATGTTTTCAAAGAATGAAATCTAGAAATTTCTTAAAAATAGTTTGTGTTGAATAATAACTCACCATCAATAGAATTAAGCAACTCAAAAAATTAAATATGTTTTGGAAGAAATGGATTGGGGAGATAAAGTCAGAATAAAGTCAGAGCAATATTTGTATGGTGCCAGGGCTGGTTACATGAATAGATGTGTGACAGTCGAACAATTAGGGATTGGCCACCCCTTCATCCAAAGGGAAATATCTTTGGATAAAGATGGTTTGGATTGTTCCAGGAAAACCTAGCTCCTTTCTCCATTCAGGAGCAGACAGGAACCCTTTTCTGACTCTCAGTCTATTCCATTTGCCATGCATCAGAGTGTTTTTAGCTTGCAAAATTACGAGAATTCAAGTTTTGTTAATTTTCTGCATGGTCTCTTGTAGGAGAACATTGGTTGGTCCTTTCTCCCTTCTCATAGGAGCTGAAGTTTATTGGTTACACCCATCACCAGTGCTCCCAAGGCACTTCGATTCCTCTGTGTTTATCTGTAACTTCTCTCCTGTGCTTTGTTTCCCTTATCTGTTAATCACTTATATCCCCAAATCAGACCCTGTTACTTCTAAGGACTCTGAATTTTGTATTTGTAAGTCAAATATTGCTTTTCTCTTTTCCTTATGTCCTTTGCATAGTCTACTTTAGAGCAATGCACAGGAGTTACTCCTGGTTCATGCACTCTGGAATTACTCCCGGTGGTGCTCGGGGGACCATATGGGATGCTGGGAATCGAACCCGAGTTGGCGGCGTGCAAGGCAGACGCCTACCCACCGTGCTATTGCTCCAGCCCCGAGCAATTTCCTTTTTGTATAGACACAGGAAGATAGTTAACGCCATGCTTTTGTAACTTGGGAGTTAATTGACTCTGAATAATATTTAATACTGGGCATCTGCCATGTTTCCTCAACTTAAGCCTCAGTTGCCCTTAGTTTCTAGCACCCCAAAAGCAGGGTCCCGGTGAAGGGACTAGATGGACCCAGAACAAGCTGTAAGCTACCCTGGCATCCAAACGGGTCAGGTCAAGTGCCATAAAACTTTACAGTAAGAGCATGCTTGTGGACAAATTCTGCCGTGACCCAATGCTAAGTGAATGGACAAAGATCCTGCAGGAATTAGGAAGGACTGATCTGGCCTGAGGACTATAGTCTGGGATCTATAACAAGAGGAGAGCCAACCTATAAGCTTCATGTATCTCTTACCGTGTCCATACAAAATAACGAGAGAGATGATTAAAAAGTAAATCTAAGATGATTGTTTATGGAAAGGAGAAGCGTGCCTTAGATGAAATTCCACACTTGAGAAGATCTTCTGGAAGGAGGAGATCTTTGTCTTAGAAGAGCGTCCCTTGAAGGAAGGATTTTCCGTATATTGCGCTATCTCACCTCATTGTAGTTGCTACTCTCAATCCTTGAAAGTTGGGCTCTTGACTAAGGCAGTGATACTGGGTGCAGGGAGTTGGGTGTGGGCAAAGTAGGAGATGGGAATGAGGGGCAGCATGAGACTGGAACAGGCGCCCCGGGGAGAACGGAATAAATGGTGGGACTGAGACTGGGATAAACAGTGACTGATCTCCAATCAGCCTGGCGGCCCTGTTCCCTCTTTAATGTGTCTGTTGGTGGCAGCTGCAGTCTGGGGGGTGGGGAAGTGGCTCCTGGCCACTGAATGCATGTGGCGAGAGAGCCCATGCCACATACTATTGAATACTCAGTCTCTGAAATCCAGTTCCAAATTTGGAGTTAATGGTTGTTTGCAAAGAACCATCAACAAGGGTGGTAGCCCTGGCGACTCCAGCACAGCAGGGCCCAAACACTGGGTCCTCACATGGAACCGCCGGTTCAGTGGGCCAAGAATCACAAGGACTGACCCTGGGTCTCCCTGAACACAACGGGATGTCCCCCACCAAAATAAGCATCTCAACAATACGGAAACTGTTTTCTTGGTGCTACAGAGTTGAATGGATTCATGGTTTTTTTTTTTTTTTGGTTCATATTTATTAAGGTCTTTAAAATGTATAATGGCAGTTTGGACTCAACTACAAAATCAATGGTATAAAAGAAAATGTAAGTAGTTTAATTACACAAGAGAACGGATTGTAATGTTACAAAAAGAGTATCAATGAATAGTTAAGATGATATTGATTTGGTACTTTAGTTTGGGGCTAATAATGATGTCCAGCAATAGTTTCCCCTTTAAAATTGTTTTTGTTTTTGGGGCTGGAGCGATAGTACAGCGGGTAGGGCGTTTGCCTTGCACGCGGCTGACCCAGGTTCGATTCCCAGCATCCCATATGGTCCCCTGAGCACCACCAGGAGTAATTCCTGAGTGCATGAACCAGGAGTAACTCCTGTGCATCGCCAGGTCTGACCCAGAAAGCAAAATAAATAAATTAATAAATGAATTAAAAAATTGTTTTTGGTTTTTAGGCCATACCCATTACTCCTGGCTCTGCACCCAGAAATTACTTCTGGTGTTGCTCAAGCACCCTAACCACTCTACTATTTATCATTCTAGCCCTGCTTTCTCTATTTTCTTTAATTTTTTTTATCATCACTGTCTTTGTTATATCCAGTGGTGCTCATAGGTTACTTTCAGCATGGTGCTCAGGAATAGTTATTTTTTTAATTAAAAATTTTTTTAATAGTGAGACATCATGAAGTACAGTTGTAGACTTACATATTTTTGTGCTTGGGTTTCAGTTATACAATGATCAAATACCCATCCCTCCACCAGTGCCCATTTTCCACCACCACGGGTCCCAGTATCCCTCCCACCCCCCATCCTCCCCATCCCACCCTGCCTCTGTGGCAGGGCATTCCCTTTTGTTCTCTCTCTCTTATTGGGTGTTGTGGTTTGCAAAAGAGGCAATGGGTGACAATCATGTTTAGTCTATAGTTTACTTTCTGCATGCTTCTCCCATCCTGGGAGGATCCTCCCAACACCTTTATTTGGTGTTCCCTTCTTCGTCTGAGCTCCCTTTTCCCCTAGTATGTGTGGTTGGCCTCCAAGCCATGGAGTAAACAGGAATAGTTCTTGGCTGAATTGAACCCAGCCACCGGCACACATGGCATGTGCTCTACCTTTTTGATCTAATCTCACCCGCCTACCACTGTGTTTAAAAAATGATTTACTTTAAATGATTGCAGAAAGGAAAGTGATTCTTTGTATCTTTTGTAATGGGAAATCATAGTTCTGTGAAGCAAAATATTCATTGTAATTGGCAGGTCTAGGAATATGGAGGATTGTGCATGTTTTAAGGAAGGACAAGATTCACACCGGGCAATTTTAACTGAAGCTCGTGACTTACTCTTGAGGGAATCTTATCCTTCCTTAAATTAAGCATATCTATTGAGCTGTTCTTTTTCTATATCAGGTATATAACTAAATTATTTATAATTTTGTAGCTTTGCACAGGAAGTATAGGTATTCTGCCAATTTATATTGACGTATGAATGTGCACACATATTTGATTAGAAGTTATCTCTAGGGAAGATAAGTGGGTAGTAAAATAAAATTAAAAATTTTTCCCCCATTGGCCAGGTTTAGTCAGGTGTAGAGCACCTGCCTATACGTGTGAGTGCCTGGATTCAATTCCCAGCACGACATACACAGACACACACACACACAGACACATAGTCACACACACAGACACACACAGACACATACAGTTACACACACAGACACACACAGTCACATACACCGACACACAGACACACACACAGACACACACAGACACACACAGTCGCACACACAGACACACACACACACACAAAATTTTCCCCCCATTTCCTGGAAAGGAGAAAAACTAGATGATTTGCAAGTTCACTTTTACAAAAGTAGCCATTTCATAACAATATTTTTCCTCCATTTCCACCAAAGCTCTTTACTTCTGTGGTGGATTAGATAAAAAGGCTGCCAATCTTACACATCTACCCCAGTGCATTATGTGTGGTAAACTGACAAATATGTGAAAACATAGTTGTGACTAAATTAAAATAATAGGAGATTTTGCCCCTGGTTATTCCATTTCATTTTATTATATTAGCTCAGCCAAATTCACATACCATATACAGAATAGGATATGATGGTAAATGCAGGGAATGGAAAGCCCAGAAAGAGCGCCAGGCAACTGCTTTTGAGGGCTGCTGTTTTTCTAATTTGTTTTCCTCTTGGGAGAGGAGGTGCTAAGTGCAGACCTTGAAGGAATGTTTCTTCCATCCAGAGTTAGCCGGCAAGAGCATTCTGTGGAGTGAAAATTTTACAGATTGCCTGAGTGCATGCTACTCAGTGAAAGAAGAATTAAAAAATACTTACTGTAGTCTACAACGGTCCCTAATTTGAATCCTTTTGCTGGTCCATTTTTGAAACATCGCCAGTGATCAAAAAATTTTCCTGTCGCTGGAAGAGAGATTTATTAGCATTGGCTTTGGGAAGTTCATGGTTGGCTCTAGACCTGCATGAAACTGAATCACAAAGGCAGAGTTTATTACTATTTCAGATTCAAACTTCTGAGGAATCTGAGTACAAACCATTAGGTTTGATTTATATTATTTTTTTCTCCTGTTGTTATTATTAAACTAGATAGACTTAATGTAATTACTAAAACATTATGGTACATAAAAATGCACTTTAAGTCTTGATGAAGTTTTTAGTTGGCCTCCAGTGTTGAGGGAGCAAAATCAAGTCTTATAAACTCGAAATGAATAATGCCCATTTTTATTCAAACATCATAAATGAATGAAAATTTCAGCTTAGGCTTTTATATTTGTGAGTGTTATTTTTGACTGTGGAAAAGATGACTTTTAAGAATTCCCTTTGTTTCCGTTGCTGTGGCAACCTGTCAATGCCCAAAACTTGAATGACTTCCTGTATAGCAAACCAAGCTAACTCAGTTGACATTTTGGTACAATG